AACATCCTTGTCAACTGCATACAGTTATTTCCTTAATTAGTATATACAGTACATACGGAATAATGTCGATACTCCTAACCCTGTGGTCAACAAGACATTCCAATAAGAGGGGGGACTCAAAAGAGAGCAGCCAAGTAAGGCTCACTACCCCAAATTTGTCTACATTAACTGCCATCTGCCATGTGTTTAGCGAGTTGTGATTTCTATCAAAATCTCTTTGAATTTAATTTGCTGCTTTTACAGAATTTACAAGTTGGTTATCACCCTCAAACATGACTAGTTTATCAGATCATTGATATACCTTAAGAAAAGTAGTGGTCCACATGATAATACGATCACAGGGGGGGGTAAGAACGCTAGGCAGAGCAACAAGTAGTGAACTCAATATCGAGCAACAGGAATCAGGTAAGAATGGTATAAATAACCCGGCGTGCTGCACGGTAGAGCAATTGCAGGTGTGTTAACTCGTGCGGCGGCGCTTGTTAATAGTAATCCGCTGCTGGTGCTGATTAGATCACTTAAGAGTTGATCTCTGCTGGCTGGTGGTCGTGACACAAACAAAATAAGAAAGTATTCATTAATCATATCTACCATTTCAGTGTCTTCTTTTGGTATTCCTGTAGGTGTATATTCCTGTAGGTCTTTCCTAGTCTATGTTGGGAAAGTTCAAGTCTCCCATAAATAAACTATTTAGTTTGCACATAAATTTGTAATTTAATTATACAATGTTGAATTATAATCAACAACTGCATTTGGTAGTCTTTATCTCATCACCAATACTATTCTTTTTGGAATGTTTCTTAATTAGTCTGATCCACATAGATTCAGAGACTGCTAGATTCCTTTAGTGCCTGTATCGGAATACTTTTTTAATATATATATAGTGCTATAATTCCTCCACTTCCATAACAGACATAACATTTAACATGTACTGTAACATCTAATAATTTTCAGGCTTGGTTTTGTGTAACTGTTATGCTTCTTATAAGAAAAAACAAAAGGATTTTTTGTACATTCAAAGGATAAACAATGAAAGAAGGAAAAAAGGTCAAATATTTTTTCTCTAAATAAGAAAAATAGGAGTGATGAAGGAGTCCAAGAATCAATAAACAGATGTCTGTAAAATATGTCCATCAACCAGATGGCATTCCTTTTGAATTTGAGAAAATATTTAGTGCATCT